CTGCTCTGTGCATGTCCTGTGAAAGAAATGCAAATAAAAAGGAAGATCGGCCACTCTCCGGACATGTTAGCCAGGCTGTAGCCACTGACAGCTGAAGAATTAAAGCTGCAAACACAAACACAGATGAATGTTACAAAAAAAAACAAAAAAAAAACAGGATGATAATGTGAAAAGGAGAAAAAGTGTGGGAAATGTGGACTCTCCAGTTGCATGCGAGTGTCATCCAGCTGAGTGAGAAACAGTGATTTATAGCAGCTCTGCGCTCCCTTCCATCATGAGGTAAACGGAAAGATCAACACATGTAAGCACATCAGAGGAGGAAGCAGCTGGCCGTTGGACAGGCACCGACCTCAGGGAGAATAATAACAACAACATTAAGCACTTACAGCGAGGAGGCACGGCAAAGCTGCTTCCCTCCTGCTCCTCTCTGCTTTTGTTAGCACGATGGCAGCGAGGAGCCAGTGGCAGACCGCGAGCAATGACAGCAAACCGTGCAGCAGCACTGCGACGGCCAAAAGAAGGGCTTCTTCTGCGTGAAGGTCCGACTGTATTAGCAGGGACTCAAAAGACACCTCAGCCCTCTCTGGCGCCACGACAAAGCCGATGAAATGCTGGCACTGGAGCACACGGGATCACTGGAAGCGTGTATACAACATGTATTTCTAGATTGCTTATGCGCTGTGTTTATTTTGTTATGGCAGGCTTGATTTTTGAAGCCTCATAAATTCTAGCTGTTTAACTCAGAGAGAAAAATACTGAGACACTGAAGTGAGTATGTTTGAGAGCATAACTATAAAACAGAAAAGTTTCAATGGAACAGTTAGCAAATTCAGTTTGATTTTTTCCAGCAATGGTGAATTCAAATAACTAAACCAGACGACAAGTGAAGGTTAAGGCCTGCTGAGTCATGCTGTTGTAATCGGTGCAGAATGGGAGCAGGGATTGTCTTGCTGAAATGAGCACAATGATCAATGTTTCTGGGTGATTTAAGTTATCATTTAGCATTAACAGTTGTGCTACTTATGTAGAGGAAACCCCTTTTTGTGCACTAATGCAGCCGAATACCACTATAAATCATATATTTTCAATTTGGACAACAGTCGAGACTCTAATCTGGAGGATGTCCATCTTTAACTTGAATTTTGAATGCAGAAATTGCTGTGTTCTCATTGGTGTTCGAGTTAAATCTCTTTTTAATAGAGGGGAAAAACACTGCCTTGTCCTTTACATATAGATTATCTTAGAAATATATCATGTATTGTAATATAAATTAATATTTAATTGTCCAGATGATCTGATGTGCAGAGATGTTTTAATGAGAAACCAACCATTTCTTAAAGCCAAAAATACTTGGAAGTGAATCCATAATCCACCAGCAGAAATGACTACAGGTTCTTACAGATGTAGTGCAAAGGATGCAGTGATAAAGACAGAGCATAAAATCACAGCACACATCATGCTCATGTAAGGCAGTGTAAATCACCAGTCTGAAGGCTGATGGAAGAATAGGACTAAGACTCTGACACATGGATTAAAGAGAAAAAAAAAGGGGGTACACCGTGGTAGATTTTTACTCAACTAACCACAGTCAAAGAGAGTCAGATGTCATTTAACAAGTGCTGTGAGTCTGATCCTGCAACTTTCTGCTGACCAGCAAAAGTGCTACATCATGTTTTAATTAGATAGCCGTCGTTTCCTGAAATAGCATTTTCTAAATCGTTCCAGTTTATCTTTGATGGGAGTTTGGTATAAACAAATACACATCGGATAACATCTGAAGGAATTTCCTGAAAAACCGAAACAGCTTTCTGTGGATCTGCATGTTCTTTCTTTTTTTTTTTTCAACAACGTTTCGTGGCTGAGCAAAGACTGGCGGCTGGGTTTGTTTCATTAAATGGAAATGTCAGGATGAGACAGCAACAAGTGGGACTGTGAGGAATTAGCTGTAAAGGTCAAATCGTGAAGCGTGCCGGCAGCTTGAAGCTGAGCCTCGCAACCAGAGGGGCTCCCTCTGCTCGCTCCCCCCTCTGCATTCCTGCCCCTCGCAGATCGATCCGATGCTTATCTGTCAAGGTGGTGAGTAATTCCTACCATCACAAAAGATGGGAGCAAACGGAAAAAACAACCACCACTGACATTCCAGAGATATTCCTCCCGAGTGCATTGCATCTGTGCGGAAAAAATGTTATTGCATGCGCTCTGCCCTATTCGGAAAAGTAGACAGGTTCTCTGTCACACAGGGCTTAACAGACTTAATAGAACATATTTGGAAAAGATTTCCATCCACTGCAGGTAAGGGGCGTCCAGACAGAGCTGAAGACTAGTCATGCACGTGGTGGACGTGACCTTAAGAAACCAGACAGGTAAACAGGAGCGGCATGTTCCTTCATGTCCAATACTGCAGCGCGTCAGGATCTAATTTGGAAATGAAAAATAAATAGGTGGCAGCAGGTATGTAAACCTTAGAGACCTGAGGAAAGAATCAGAACCCAGGACGGGTGAAACACCTTTTACACTTTCGCGGGGCACGTTGACGTGTGGTGAGACCGATATGAATGCGAGCGCTCAAACTGAAGGCCTTAAACGAAGTACATTTCCAGTTTGATTTATTTATTTGAATCAGATTCGCTGACTGACACGCGACTTCTGATGAACAACCTTGTTTTCTCCAAGGAAGTGATCTCACTTCTGCGCACAACAAGCCGCTTGTGGCGTCGCCTGGTGCCGAACACACTCGGCCAGTGCGTGTACTGGCCGAGTGTGGGGGAGGGAGGGAGGAGGGCTTGGAAATGCGATGCATCAACAAGCTGTCACACAGTCAGCAATGGGTCATAGATTCTCTTTGTGGCTGGGATAAGGTGCCAACTTCCACCTCGTGTCATGACAACACACACACTTGGGCTTCTGTTCACACTCAAAGCTGAAGGGCCTTTTTGCTTATTTGCAAATTGTCGTTCACATGGGAGCCAAACGTGGAGCAGCAATCAAAAGAACATCATCAAGTCAAAGTGTGTTATAGTTTTTGTGGTTTCTTTGGCTTCTAATCAGCATAAAGAAAAAGTGAGCTTCAGAGGAACTCTTTTGTTTTCAAAGCTACTTTTTCAGCTATTTAATTTGTTCTGTGGAAAACTCGCCTTTTTTTTTTTTTTTTTTTTGCTGCGCATATAGCTGATCTGTCGACTATTTGCCACATACTCAGCAGTAAGTCACCAAAACAACTCAACAGCTGCACCACCAGTTACGTTGGAGCGACCTGGCTCGGTCAGAGCTCCGGTACACGTGTGGTTTATTCAGAGTCAGACTTTCATCCTCCCCTTTGCCCTACCTGACTCTGCACTCCAGGTTTCTGCCACAGAGTGGTGAGTTAGCATCGAAGGATCCTGATGTAAGCGCTATTTGATACACTGAGGTTTCCCTCTGTTGAAAGTTAATGGGAAACCCTTTGCTAGCAAGATACGTCGCCGTGCCGAACAAGCACTATGATATGGGAGGAAAAATAGGTTATCCCATGTCCGAGAACAATCGGCTCATTGTAGCAAGTTAAAGGTAATGACACAGAAACCAGAAGCTGATGTAAACAAAGATTATATCACTCTCCAGAATAAATATAAGCCCACATAACAGCAAGAAACGCCTTCTGATTTAAAGTGCGGTTGTTTCAAAGCAATAAGACTGACAGCAACAGCCTATCTTTGTTTAGCCCAAGCACTGGAACAGCACACCCATGCCCGCCTGCTTAAGTGGTTCCTTTAACTGATATGCTGCCATGTTTTACACTCCAATAAAACCTAATTGGGTTCCAATTCAGAGAAACACATAAAGCACCTCACACATATCTTTGCCCCAGGTGTAAAATCAAATTTGCTACTTTCACTGGAGCTCTGTGACCACAAACCTCAGCGAGCCACTCACCACACGCTTCTGCCTACTGGCAGGAGGAGATCCTAACCACTGAGCACATGCACTGAAAGGCGTTTTTTTCTTTCTTAGTTCACATTTGAAAAACTAGCCCGCGGGTCTCACAGAAACCAGCACATGTTCGGTTATGTGATATCAGAGACTCCCTCTTTCAGGTGCCACTGTGGAAGTGTGGCAGCAGCAGCAGTGTGTGTGTGTGTGTGTGTGTTGTGTGTCTTAGCGAAACAAAGACTAAATCTTTAAACCACACCCTATCTGAGAGGATCAAAGCGTCCTGCTCAAACACGAGATCACACCCACACTGTGTTTATGCACCTCGCGGGATCACAACCTCGTCGAGGCCCGGGGAAGATCTGCCGTGGCTATGGAGCGAGCAGCGAGCTTTTTTTCCCCAGTGTTACGAAAAATCCGCTTCATTTGTTTTTCTTTTTTCCCCGAAGCGGAGCACTTCAGCACCCAGAAAAAGGAAGAATTTTAGACAGAAGCTGAACTCCGGCCAAAAACATCACGCTGCGAGCAACCAAAGAGTTTAGAAAACATGACATCACAGTGAGAAAGACGGAGAAGCTTGCAACACATCTGGCAGCTATGCATAGTTTAGCTGTTGATGACTGTCAAACAGATGGATGAACAGTTCACCTCTGCAACTTTGCTTATTGAGGCTCGAAAGTCGTTAGCGAGTAATTATCAAATACCTACATAGCTCTGCTAGAGAGACGCATTTTTCTAGGCAGGGACGCTGCATCTGGAAAACTCCAACAAGGCGTTGCATTCGGAAGAAAAAAAAACCCTCTGCCAACAATTCTGTCAGTATGTTGCGGTACACAGCAGTCAGGAGTCAAACTGCAACCATGTTTTTAGGGCGTCAACTGTTTCATTAAGGCCAGAGCCAGTGTTCTGCGAGGTTGAGTGAAAAAAATGCTTTTATGAAGACAACGTAGGAGCCGTCTTTGTGCCACCTCCAAGTCAAGTGGGCACTGACAATTCTTCCAGGGAAACTATGCTTGCCCTACAGTGTGAATCAGTGAAAAATGCATCATTTAGGATGCGGGTTTCCTCTCATCCGAAACGAGAGCGCTTACCTCTGCAGAGGTTCTGCTCGTCGGCGGTGAAGCCCTGGGCGCAGCGGATGGTCTGGCTGCTGTGCGGGCCCCTGTACACGCCCGGGAGCACCTGTGTGAGCTGAGGCTGGCTGGGCGGGACCACCGGGGCTTGGGGCACCGGGTCGGGCACTGGCGCCTGCTCTCCCTCCTCCTTGGTGATGTAGATGACGGCGCTCTTGGGCAGGCAGAGGTATCCACCAAAGTGGTTGACACACTGCATTCCTCCTTTACAGGCATCATCTAATAGTGTACATTCATCAATGTCTGGCACAGAAAAAAAAAAGAAAATGACATGGAGAAAAAAAAGAAGAGGGAGAGACTTTGAACTGCCACAGCTTTAAGTGGATCAAATGACAACTTATATCAGATTCACAAGATAACATGACCAACAAAAGAGTCCAATTTGGGATGTGGCAGCATTCCTACCTCTGCACTGCTCCCTGACTCTGTCATACTTGTATCCCTCTGTGCACTGTCAAAGACAAACACATTTTTCGTGTAACAGCACGTTGCAATACAACATAAACTTACCATTAGGGAGGCATTCAACACCGTGGGCATTCCAGCTTGTGCGCGATAAAAGACGGACTGATAGGAATCGTTCACTCACTGTGAAGGAGACGGGCTCCTCGGTCTGCTGAGGGAGAACCTGTGAGAAAACCGCACAGAGGCACACGCAGATCCCCAGCATGTCGAAGCGTCCGTGAAGCTCTGCTGGCGAGATTCAGAGGCACCGAGTGGATAGAGCGTGCAAGATCATTTTCTGCTTGACAAGCCTACAAGTTTTAATACCAGTTATTACATCACTGATGGCATTGCTTAACGAGTCCCAACATCTCCCGCTGCTGGCGCGATGTTTGTGTTGGCACAGCTCCAGGGAAATCTGCGACTTCAACTCAAGTGAAGTGTTTTTCTGCCGTTTTCCTCCTAAAGGATATATGCGCATTACGCGCAGAGGTCGTGCGTAAACAAGTCCTCGTGTGCCAACCAGTGTTAGGGCAACAATGGAGAAAAATGTTAATCGCCCATGCAGACTTTAATTGTCCAAATTCTGCACATGAACAATAAAAGTTTGATCGCAGGTAAACGCTGCCTGCCTTTTCTCCAGTCTTTACTGTTTGGTGACACTTGTCTCTAGACAACTGTCCGAAACAAGTGAATAAAGAAACAAGTGTGTCAGTGGACATTTTTCTTCTAATCTTAAAAACCGGATGAACCTTTTAGTCCATCTCATCCACTGGTTTCCCCGCTAGTGAAGAAAAACCCTGTACGCATCTGCTATGCGTCCCGTGACCCTTTAACGACTTACCTGTTTGCCTGTGGGTATCAAATTCTCCAGGCTGGCCGGAAGAAAAACGTCCCCCTGGTCTCTGTCGCCTCAAATATGAACGTGCACGAAGCAGGCTGGCTTTCCCCCGTGTGCACGGTGCAGCGGTGGTTGGATGTTTGTCGGAGAGCTGGAGTGTGATGAACATGCGGTTAGTACAGTATGACATACGGAGGGAAGGGGGGGGGGGGGGGGTGGTTGTTGGGGGTGTACCGGGCAGGTTGAGCTCCGGGGTTTTCTCTCTCCGGGGTACTGTAATCCATCCACAGGATACAGTGGCTCCCTCTATAGACTGACGAACTGTGTGGTTGGAGGAGTAACAGACAATAATAAAAATGTGTGTTGCATCTAATGCAATCTAATGTAATCTTGCAAGCCAACTTAGAAGAAAATATATTTTCAGTACCCCAAAAACCTTGAAGTTCTCAATGAAGTTCCCATTTCCTAGAATACGTCATTCAGGAATGTAGGGGTCAGTTAGACTTTTGTATTTTTATGGAGAACCGCGTTAACTTCAATCTTTGCCAAATGTAGACATCCCCACAGCCAAATCCCCAATCCAAGACCTCTCTAGGAAGCCTTTTATAAACTCTGCTGTTAGTGTCAGCAGCAGGTGCCATCATCAAATCCTGTGTTAAAGACATCTGACAGCGACCACTACATTTGCCTCCAATACATTTCATGGTGTTTACAAGATGCTCACGCTTTAGGAACATCTGCCGGAATTGGCAAGCCTTACTGTATTCATCATGAGTGAAGAAACTGCAAGTGTTTGCAAGTCAGTGAGTGTGTGTGTGTATGCTGTAAATGGTTTTTAAAAGACTTGGCACCACCTCTATACCACCACCAGACCTCTTTCCAGTCGACGTGTACAAGACAGCAGGTGGATTCCGGATGGGGCAATACTTTAATGCGAGTGTTCAACGTGTAATCACTGACTAAGCTTGTAATCCTGTCGTATGTCTTCTATACGGACCAAAAGTCACTGACGAAGACTTAAGACCTAAACAGAGCATTCATAACCTATGGTGAAGGTGGAGCTATAAGTAGGCTAAATGAATCATGTAACATACCAAGTCATACACACTTGGCATTTTTATTTACATTAATGTGTTTTTCACCTGAGGTTTAAGATTTATTGAAGATCAAGTCCATGAAATACATCATGAAGACATGGAAAACAAGAAAACTTTTTTACACCAAAAATCCATGAAATGTGAACGATAAAAAAAAACAAAAAACAGAGCGTTTTACTCTTTAATTCAAGTTTGTTTTATTTGGCAAGCTGTTAAAACGTGAATGAAAAGGCAGAGATTATGAGAACACATGATTTATCAATGCAATTAAAAAAAAATTGAGATTAGAGAGGATCTTCTCCAATACTGATAAGAGGAGAGAACATTCCCCCTTTCCCAATTCCTCACTGGAACCGAATCAGAAATAAGGCTGAGGTGGGTGTGTCCTGTGGATGCATCATTTTAATTGTGAAAACGCCTCCAAAAGAAGTGAATGTAGAGGATCCTTCTGACTAAATTTACAAAAAGTTCACTCTACATCACACTGAAGTAGTTTTTATGCATAAAATAAAGTACATTTTCAGGGAAAACATGCTAAAGCGTGACCTTAAGTGACCCATGATTCCCATTTGGACTTCAGTGAACATGTGGGGAACACGATATACCAGACAGCACAAACATACATTTAAATGTCAGAGTGATGGATTGAACCACAGCTTAACATAAGTACCATTCTGAGTTTCATAACATCTCAGTGATCATTATTACCCAATACCCCAGCCCACAACGTTGACCAATATACATGTACATACATATATACACCCACAGGCAACCACGTGGTAATAGGAAAACGTCCAAGAAAGAGTTTACGATCAAACTTTAAATATTCTTTGGAGGAAAATATGCATTAATCTACACACTATGGGCTAATACATTAGCAAGGAGGAATTTTCATCGGATAAGAAGCCATGACGTTTCTTTCGATGCTGAAGGTAATGCATCAGGTACTGTTGGCAATTAAGCATCAGCCAATCAGTTCCTGATGCAGTATCATCCACATCAGAAAGCTCTTACTGCACCCCAACATCATGTTGGCAGAAGCTGAACAACATATTTAGATCTTTCTGCACCCTGCAGTAATACAAAAATAATTCAAATTGATACAAACATTATTATTCTTTTCATCCTGCTATAATACAATAGCCATTACTGTACAGTGCACATCATCGTAAGTCAATTTGGCAGCAGAAGCATCTGGATAGTGAATTCATGCTAATTCAAAATGGGCATGCATTATGAAAGAGCTGCAAGAGATGAGGCTGCACTTCAAAAGAGTGTCGAAAAGAAATTTTGAAAAAAAGTAGGGAAGGGGGACGTGAGAGAAGGAAAAGCAGACACAGAGGGTGTCTGTGAAATGTGCTTGTGTAATTGCAGTGACATCTTCATTGAGAATCCTCCATCTCTTTCCTGTGTGCTCCAAAGGGCGTAGTTGACGCCGGTCGATGTGCAGAGCAGCCGAGGTGCTGTGTTTAGCATAATCCCAGAGGCCATTGTGAGAGCAGCTAGTGAACGACTCACAGTTGCCAGCTGAGATTTCACCAAAACACAGCAGAACGCAAGGAGAAAGAGATGAGACAGGGAAATCAGAGGTGGAGGAGGGGTGAGGGTTGGAAGAGGACTCTGGTGAGAGACCGGAGCTCAATAAAGAAAAAGACTACAATGTGGAGAATATTGCTTTACATATAATGTTGAGAGAAATGCTTGGTGTATGAAAGTTTTAACACTGAGAAGGCTAAAGCAATCTGTGTGCAGCTTTCAAAGATCAAAGAAACAGCGTAAAAAGTGGAAAACAGGTTTTCTTCCAGGTGGACTGCACCTCCTAGTCCTTATTAGGGACTCTAATTCAGTGTTCAAACCTATTTTCCTCCTTTAGAGCAGTGACTAAATGTTTTGACTTTTAACAGTCAGGCATAAAAGAGTAATGGAATCTCTTCTATTGTGTAATGATCGGCACATTATAGAAGACTGTGAAACCCACTGATCAGAGGTCCAGGTGGGCAGGCAGCCTTAACCACATAATGGGGTCTCCAAACAGCACCCAACAGAGAAGATGACTAGAGAAATGTGTTGCTTAAACCACTGTACCATTAGGGGTTCGTTCTACGTGGTTTCAGGCATACTGGACAAACTGCAGAATCTCTCCAGGTGATTGTGAGAATAAAAAGCACCATCACAGTTGCCTGCAGAGATTACCCAGTCAGCCCTTAGATTTCTCATTCATTCCCCAACTAACACACAAATACATGCTGCCGTGGCGTGTGTCAGTTTTATAGCTATGGGGTCAATTGACAGCAGATGGCTTATAACAATCAAGATAAAATGAGAGATGTGACCCCCTCCCCACCATTTCCCTAAAGGTCTTGTGTTACCATGGTGATAAGGCCAGGGCACGTGCCTCCCATTGTTGGGCTGTATCCTCCCGGGTCAGCCACACACCCAGTTAGAGGTCAGATGTCATCGAGGCATCCCGCTCCGGCCAACACTCACCAGCTTTCAGCCTTTGACCCACTGAAACAAATAGAGATGGGGGAACAAGGTGACCAAAAATAAATAAATAAATCCTGAAAAATTCTTTATGACTACATAGGTTTGTATACTTATTCTAAAAAGTTACATTTTGTTGAGCAGTTTTTTGGGTCCACGTTAGTTGTGTAGTGGGGAGATGTAGCCATTTTGAGATTAGTCTCCCTCTTGTGGTCAAAAGTGATACCTGGAGGCTTTCATTGTATTCAGAATTACTTCAAAGAGCAGCAGAGAAATGTAGAAGCAACTTTTTAAAAAAAAAGGAAGAATGGAAAAAAAATAGACAAGAGAATGCTGAGGTTTGGTGAACTAGTAAAAGAATTTGACAATTTTTTCCCACATTACTAGAAAAGCACACAAACCTACTAAGAATGTAGTTATTGTATTCATCATTCATGATATTAAGAACAACAAAACACTTCCAACTTTTGCTGTTCAACCAAGCAAAGCAGGCATGCGTCCACATATTTTAGCCAGTCTGTTGCCAGAGGTGCTTTTCTTTGAGACTGGATGTATGTTGGGATATTCAGGTCATCGAGTTGCAAAGTGTTGCTCCAGCGTCGACAAAAGAAAAATCTTAAGTTTATTAAACGGAACAGGCTGACAGTCCACACTTTGTTAGGCAGTGAATGAACAGAGTGGTTTTGACAGGCCTAACCTCTTAAGCTTTGGGTCCCACTGAGCTCAGCACAGCTAGAGCTAAATGCCATCTGTCCCAACATCATGAGGCCCCCCAACCTGTCCCCTAACAGTTTAGCATAAAAT